GTTCTTTGGCCACTACAATGCTACGGGTCCTATTGCATAGAAGCCTGCAGGATAGCATGACTATATACCCCACGGTCAAGCCGCGAGCTCTGATCGATGACGTGAGCTTCCACTGGACTGGTGAACGGGCCAGGGTGGGAGAGCACGACGGCCAGGCCAGAGACTTGGCCAATGCAGTTCATAGCTTTTGCCTTAGCGTGAGGCCGCTAGGGCTAGTAGTCCAGCCGAGCAAGTCAGGGTTCGTTGCGAACACGACTCGAGGTCGAGATAGATTCGCTCGATTAGTCAAGCCTCTTCGCATGAGAGCGAAGCGAGCGATGCGCAATTTAGGGCACGAGATGCACGGCACTAGGGTCTTGCGCGTGCAAGAAAAGACGCGTCTTAAGAATCTCACGGCCCGTAGGCGCAAAGTGTGGGGATTGAAACACGCCGCGGGGGAGGCTGTGAAATCTTTGTGGCGGACGGGGCTCCTCCCAGCTGGCGGCCATGGCGCTGGGGTGTCTGGGATATCCGGCACGGCTATTCGAGAGCTTCGAACGTTCGCTGGAGGCATGTGCGGGGCCAAGCCCAAGGCGTCGCTCACCCTGTTTTTAGCAGCGCAGCGAGACGACAGGTTCGACCCTATTTTCGATGCGACGGTTCCTCTTGTGGTTAGGTTTGCTTCGTTCATCTGGGACAATAGGGTCGCGCCTGGACGGCTCCGTAGAGCATGGGATGCGGTCAAGGCCAAGCTCGACCATCGCACCTCGTGGACCAGAGCTCGTGGCCCCATCGCCTCTGTTTGGGTCACGCTTCTGCGAGTGGGTTGGACGATGTTTTCTCCAACAGTGCTTGTGGACGATCGAGGTCGCCACGTCGATTTAGTTAGGAATTGCCCAGGTGATGTGAAAGCCTTCTTGGAGGAAGGCCTCCGCCGCTGGCAGGTAGATAGGATCCTTCAGCACCTTCCCAACAGCCTTGGAGAGAGCTGCTGGAGGAGGGGAATGCGGAAAGCAGTTCTTGCAGTGAAAGACGTTGCGAGGCGAGGCGCCTTGCGAACGCTCTGGTCGTCAGGAGTTTGGACTCCCGAGCGGTTGCACAGCACAGGTCTTCGCAGTTCCCCGCAGTGTTTCGTGTGCAAGCAGGCGATTGGCAACGAGTCCCATCAATGGTTCGAGTGCGAAGCCATGTTAGAAGGATTGGACGTGCCGGCTCCTGATAGTGTCCTCGAGCTTAGGACGGCCATCAAGGCCAAGCATAATTCGCAGTCTGGAGCGGATCAATTTTAACTCAGCTTCGGTTTGCCGCCTGCGCCGCCAGCGCTGTCGCCCCCGAGCGACGTGCACCCTGCGATGGGATGGGGGGACTGGCGTGGGCGATGGGGGCGGAGGGTGTTCACGGACGGAAGCGGCCAAGCGTCGTCGATCCCAGAGCTGGCCCGCTGCGGCTGGTCAGTGGTGGAAGCCGGCGATGCGGGCAATGTTTTGCGTGCAATTTTTGGCGCGCCCCCAGGAGCGGTACAGACGGTGCCGCGAGCGGAGCACTTCGCAGCGCTCAAAGCAGTAGAAGTTGCGCAGCAGCCAGTGATTGTCGTTTCAGATCACCTGAATATGGTGCGAGAGGGGTGTGATTGGTCGGAGTCAGCTGCCTCGTCTAGAGGCCGTCACGCTGCGGTGTGGGAAAAACTTCGTCGGATCTGTTCGGAGGCTCCTCCTACCTTCGAGTGGGTCCCAGCCCACAGGGATCTCTCGGCGGTCTTGGAGGCCCCTGATTGCGATTTTGTCCGTTTCGTTGCAAACGAGTGGGCAGACTTTTTCGCCAAGCGTGGGGCTCTGATGCACTCTACAGGCCAGACCATGCAGGACTATTATAAGCAAGCCATGAAGGCGGCCAAGGACCATTCCCAGGTGTTTGCATGGATGGCCCAAGCAGCCGCCAAAAAGATTGTGGAGCTCCAGCCCAGGGAAGATGAGCCGTCTCAGGTCCGTCGAGTCGTCACCGCCCCCCTGGTTGTGCTGGACTCGCATGAGCTTCGAAATTGCGAGAGCCTGTCAGAATACA